AAAAAAAAAAAAAAAAAAGAAAACGTGAATTTAAGTCCTAGTTTAACCATTTATAGGATGATTTGGCCAAGTTACTTAACATCTCTGAGACTGAGTTTCTTTATCTTCAAAAAAGAGAAAATAATGTACTATTTTGCCACCCTTACATAGCTTCAAAGATCTAATAAGGCAGACAATACATGGTAAAGGTCATAATAAACCGTAAAGTTCTATGGCAGTGAAACCCAAATATAACTTATGCTACTTGTGGCTGAGTTTAGGCAGAGTGTTAAAAAGAAACAGCAGCCCAGCAAAAAAATACACACATGTGCCCACACACACACACTTGTTCTTGTCTGGTGTGTTTTGTTTTTTCTATTTTAGCCATCCTAGTGAATGAGAGTGTTATCCTATTGTGGTTTTGATTTGCATTTCCTTAATAACTAATGATGTTGAGCATTTTTTCATGTACTTATTGACAATTTGTATGTTTTCTTTGGAGAAATGTCTACTTAATGTATTCCCCATTTTTAATCGGATTATTTATCTTTTTATTGTTAATTATAAAAGTTCTTTTATATTCTCAATACAAATTCCTTACCAGAGAGAGATATGCTTTGCAAATATTTTCTTGCATTCCATTGGTTGTCTTTTTTGATGATGTCATTTGAAGCACAAAATTTTTAATTTTGATAAAATCCCATTTATATATTTTTTCCTTTCTGTAGCTTGTGCTTTTAGTGTCTCCTTTTTTAATTTTATACTCATTCAAATATATATATACAATATATAGAAGTTTAACACATTAACTGCCATGTGAGCTGTATTTAACTCACACTAGTTTTGAGCCTGGGGCTTCATGAAGCATATGTAACTCACACGTCTCTTCACCTTGGGAGCTGCAAGAACTAGTTTTCGAGTTGCATGTAACTCACACACAGATAGCAGTAAAAAATAACAAATTTTTCATTAAATTATAAAGGATCATTTTGTTGTCTAAGCTTTTATTCCATTTTCATAATAAAACACTGTGGCCCCAAGGAAAAAAGGTTTTTTTCTGGTGTGACAGTCAATGTGTTAAAGCTAGTCCGGGGACTAGGAGCTACTTGCCCAAAAGCAGTCCTGGCCAAAGTAGATCTGGACATACAGTACAGATCAGAGCCCTGCCCTATGTGAATTCACTGATTTCTATGCTCTCCCACTATCCCACCCCTCTACTCCCGCCATACTCCACCCTTAGTTTTTGCCAATGTTCCTTGTGGAAGATTATAACATTACCTCAGCTGAACTAAAAGGAAATAAGGCTGCACCTCTGCCAAGATATGTTGGGAAACCAGTATGTTCTCAATGATCAGAAGTGTTTGTGGTATACCTTCAACTAAAAAGTTCAGAAGGGCCAGTAGAGAAAGTATGGACCCAGAAGGGGCAGAAATGGGGAAACTCGCCACTACTGTTGGCTTCTTGAATGGGCACCAAAATGGCAACAAGAAATGACAGCTAAAAGCTCCCAGTCAGAAAATATAAAAAGTAAATACAAGAACTCAAAAAGACATAGTAGTCTGTGCTCATTTTGCAAAGGAGCAGATTGTTCTCTGTACCTCAGAGGGTATTAATGGTTATTATCCACCAGTACTTCTTTTCCAAAGCAGCTGCACGTTGCAAACTAGAAGGTATTAGTCCCAATCCCCTAATTATAGGAAAGAGTATCTGATTGGCCAGGCTGATCAAGTTATCACCCCTGCTCCAATGACAGTGAAAACATCATATGGTATAAACATGACTCCTATAGTAAGGAAAGCTGAAAACACATCTAAGATGAGAAGAGCTTCTGGTAATGTCACTACCTGGTGGGAAGAATAGTGCTAGTCTATCAGGTTACATGATCTCTGGGAAATTCCACAGAGTCTTTGTAGTTGATATTTTTTTAATGAGTCTGTCCCCTTAAGAATCAACGGGACAGCTGGACACAGTGGAGCATGTCTGTAGTCCCAAGTACTTGAGAAGCTGGGGCAGGAGGGTCGCTTGAGCCTAGAAGTTCAAGCCCAAAAGTTGGAGGCCAGCCTGGACAACATAGCAAGGCTCTGTCTCTGCAAAAAAAAAATAGAAAAAAGAAAAAAAAGTTGGGATTTTGTCGTCCATTGTTGGAATAAAATTAAATAAGGTTTTTTTAAAAAACAATTAGTAGGGGGTTTTTAAACTTTTACGTATACAAATACACACACACACACACAATTCCCAAAGATCAGTTAAATTATCACTGCAATTTATA